AATTCAGTTATTTACACACTAGCTGAACTACAGCTTTGGGCCTTAGCTTGTAAGGGGCCTCTAAACACATTTAACATAGAATCATAGAATGTTAGAGTTGGAAGGGATCTTGCAGGTCATCTAGTCCAACCCCCTGCACTCTGCAGGAGCATAGCCGAAAGATAACCCTACATACCTACAACATACCCGAAAGATGGTTGTCCAGCGAAGGAGCATCCACCACCTCCCGAGGCAGACTGTTCCACCACTCAACCACTCTTACAGTTAGGAAGTTTCTTCTGATATTTAGCCGGTAACGACTCCCTTGTGATTTCCACCCATTAGATCTAGTCTTGCAATCCAGAGCAAGAGAGAATAGATCTGCTCCATCTTCTACATGACAGCCCTTCAAATACTTGAAGACTGCAATCATGTCCCCTCTAAGCCTTCTCTTTCCCAAGCTAAACAGACCCAGCTCTTTCAGCCTTTCCTCATAAGACTTGGATTCCAACCCTCTCACCATCCTGGTTGCCCTCTTCTGGACACGCTCGAGCTTGTCAACATCCTTCCTACATAATGCTGTGGGCCTCTTAACCTGGACACAATTTACGGCCTCAGTGTGTCTTCATCTAACCCTGTTCCTTTGCATGTATTTCCCTCAGAGCCACTGCCTGCCGTTTCAAAGCCGAATCTTTGTTTACACCCCCCAAAGTTTCACAGGTTCACAGTCTGAAGGAAGGAGTATAAATGGTTGAGGAAATCAAGGAGGGCAAAATAAACATTGACATTTGGGGATGTTTTGTTTGTTTCATTTGTTTACTGCTGTGAGAAATAAAAGCGGGAAAGCTGCAGATGCCCCAAACGTTTCAGTAAAGCATGGGCAATTATACTGTGATATATATTATAGCAGAGTGGTGGGAAAATATAAGGCCAGGTAACTTTATAGAAATGTGGTGGCAGGTTTTTGGATAATGGGCAACCATTATTTTATGCTTTGATGCACTTCTTTGTATTGAGAGTATTGTGGTAATAAAAGAGGACATTAAAAATAAAATAACCCCTGTCTTTCTAGAGGAGGAGATGGAAAGGAGACGAGAGTGCTCCGTGTCATCTGCATGTTGGTGACAATAAAGCCCAGATCTCTGGAGAAGCCCCTGCCCTCATGGATGTCATGCAGAAAATCAGACGACCAATAAGGGAGGCAAGAGGCACTCTTACAAAGCTGCAGATCTGTCACCCCAGGTATCCCTCACTTTGGTGAGCCTCTGAACACTTTGGAAATGTTGAGAATTGGTAGAGGGTGCCACCATAAAATGGCTGCCATGGGAGGGCAAGGCCAGCCACAAAATAGTTGCCAAAGAGGCTGGAACTAATCACAAAACATTGGGGAGGTTCCAAGCCAAGCATTCTCCCATGATGCAGACAGGTAGCCATTGGACAGGTAGCAATTTCTCCAAGTTCTGATTCACACAGAGAGAATCCACCCATACTGGCAAACAATCTCCTCGTCATTAGGTGAAACAGGTGACTGTTCTGGACTGTGAAACAGCCATGTATTTAACAAAACATGAAGCTGCCTTATACTGAGTCAGACCTAAGGATGGGCACAAACCGGCTCATGAACTAAAGTTTGTGATGAATTTTGGGCAGTTTGTGGTTCATGAACTGAAGTTCATGGTAGGTCAATGGGCCCAAATTTTCCACGGACTTTCAAGCAGCTCGTGGCAGTTTGTGAACGGATACAATTCCAGACAGACTGTCTCCACTCAATAAAAATGTTTACCGAAGGCAGGGTACGGTTCCCTGTGTGTTTGGTGTGTGTAGCTTCCTGGGGGCATTTTTGGAGGGAGCTGTGACTCGGACCCCCTAAGTCCAATCTGCACATAACTTGGAGGGCATGTAGAGAAGCATCAGGGGGAGGTCTCCTGTGTGATTGATGTCTCTAGCTTGCACAGAGTCCACTCTATGCACTCCTGAACCTCCTGAATCTTCAACTGTCATTTCCCCAGAAAGCACTTTCCTGGGGCACCTTATTTGGGGGGTCCGTAACTCAGACCCCATAAATCCAATCCTCACTAAACTAGGAGGGCAAGTAGAGGAGACTCAGACAGAGAACCTCTGCAAGTTTGGTGCCTCTAGCATGCTAAGGGGGCTTTCTACTGCATCACAAACCTCATTTGGCACCTAAAAGTTCATGACAGTTCGTGGCTCACACGGACCGGGCACGCCACGAACTGAAATGAACTGCATTTTTCCAGTTTGTGCCTATACCTAGTCAGACCATTAGATTATCAAAGTCAGTATTATCTACTCTGACCAGCAGTGGTTTTCCAGGGTCTCAGGTGGAAGTCTTTCACATCACCTGATCTTTTTTATTGGGGATGCCAAGGGTCGAACCTAACACCAAGAAAATGCTGTTCTGCTGAGCCACGACTCTTCCCTAAAGGAATGGTCAGCCAGTAGCTGCAACAGTATTGCACAAACAGCAAGGGAATCCGTTGCTAGGGCTGCGTGCAGGCCAGATTGGTTTCTGTCCTCGGCAGCTGCTCTCACCTTCGTTTACCGGAATCCTTTCATAACTGAAACTGCCAGCTCGTCAACTGACCTTGTAAATCCACCAAGCCGAGAGTGATGATAATTGGGTCATCTTTCTTCTTGCTCTCGTTGTAAAATTCCTGTCCAACTCTGTTCTGCTGACAGATAATGTCCTCCACTAAGGCCAACAGCTTGTTGATATCAGTAGACTTCCCCAAATCAGGCTCCAAGGAAGGGAATGGAGCCCTGAGGGTTTTGAAGAGGGAGTTGGCAATTCGCCTGATGTCCTGAATAGAACCAAAGAGACGGTAATTTTTTGGGGGGAGGGGGGGAACGAATTTTCTGAAATTATGGAACATCACCTGATCAAATTCCACACAAATTCCGGGCTTCTGGTGAGCTGTCTGGCTTTTCAATTTTCTTCCTTAAGGTGCTGTTTGTATTTCTGCATTTCGACAACGATAGGGCACCTGTTTGTTTGTTTGTTTTTAATAAATTGTGCCAGTCCAGTTAGTGGACCTTACCTTGATGACAGCCTCAGGTGTCAGTGACATGCTCTGGGTAGCCTGATGGGGAGGAGTAGGTAGACTTGGGGACACACGCCCACTTTTCCCTGGCTTCTTCTCTCTGTTAGGCCGTGGGCGGATATTCCTGAAGATCTGCACGATGATCAGGTTGATGGGGAACATGAGGAGGGAGCTTTCGAAGCCAATCATCACTTCCTGCCATGTGAACTCTATCTTACCTGGCAAAGTCAGGTAGAAAAAAGAGGTTCTGTTTGCAAAATGTGAGGCTGAAGCTTCTTCTCACCAGGAGAAGAAGCTGAGGTTGTGGTACCCATAAAGACGGTGTTGCCAGAGGCGTTGCCTTTTACTCTTAAAGGTTCCCTTGCTCGAAAGCCAGTCGAATCCGACTCTAGGGTTGCGGTGCTCATCTCCGTTTCAAAGCCGAAGAGCCAGCGCTGTCCTAAGACATTTTCGTGGTCATGTGGCCGGCATGACTAAACACCAAGGCGCACGGAACGCTGTTACCTTCCCACTGAAGTGGTAACTATTTATCTACTTGCAATTTCTTGCTTTCTTGGTAGCCCCAATAGCAAGGGCACCCCACTTCTAATCTGACCCAGAGACCCACAAAACTCAGGCCAAGGAAGGCACTCTTGGTTCTGAAACACAGAGCTAGCCACAGCTCTGAAAAAGGGGTCTCCATTTTCAGGTGACAGGCAACCTCAGAGCAAGCCTCCAGTCTTCCCCTTCCACCCAGCAGAGATTATGCTTATGGAATAACAATGAGTTCAAGCAGGTAAAGTATCTACATTTCTAAAGTCTATTTAATTCTTTGTCTGAATACTTGTCTTTTCCACTCTGTCCCTCAAGATACCCTGAAGATAAATCAATCAAGCATTCAAACTATTAATGATCGTTCCTGACGCTAATCAGGGACATCTCCCACCTTTTGTTTACCCTGGCCAGGACCATTAGTGGTCAGATAATCCATTTAACTAGCCACCCAACACCTGGCTTCTATTGTTAAATCCAGACCCTGCCTCTCTAGAAGCCCATTGGTCACATATAGGCCTTGCCCATCCTGATGCCACACACCCCTGGGACTCATCATTGGCCCAGGAAATCTATTGTTCTCACCTGAGACCAGCCCCCAGGACCGGCCATTGGTCTGTATTGTCTTCCATAGGGTATATCCCAGCGTTCACATGGCCTCAGACCGTGTGTTTTCTGCCGTGTTTTCTGCCATTAATCAAAATGGCAGTCCACCCCTAAGCTCTCTGAGTTTAGGCCACAATCCATGGACCTCTGCACATCTGGACCAGGTTGTATAACCCCTCTATAAACTATCAATCACTTCTGCTTCCTTAGTTCTATATTGTGTGTGTGTGTGTGTTTGAATATTGTTTGTATGTTTAGTAAAGAAATCATTATTTTAGCCACCCAGTTTCCGTGTCTATTCCTGGGTTCTTGGGAATTCTAACTCTGGTATACACAGGTCAGATCCTATAGATAAGTCAATTGCATATTAATAATTATAATTCCCATCTTTATTAAATAATAGAGCAATTTGGCTAACAACGGACACATATGAGATGCCTCCAGGCGCCCTCATTGATGTTCAGGGGAAGTCTCCAGAGACAGTCACCTCTCTCTCACCTAGGGACACCAGCCCTGTCTTCCTCCTAGGATTCTGGAACCTCACAACCCAGAGCTCACTGCAGCTTCTCAGCTGACCCTCAAGCCCTGGTGGCTGACTCTCTCTCCTCCTTCCCAGAAACTGGCCTGGTAGTCCAAAGTTAGGGTGGAAATTTCCAGGACGCCATCATTATGGACTCTATTTGGATCTTTAGTTTTTTTAACACTGGTTTATAGAATTTTAATAGTTAATGTTTTTATGGCTTCTTGCCCCCATGTACATCGCCCAGAGTCCGGCACAAGCTGGGATAGGGCGATTAATACCTTTAACAAATTGTTATTGTTGTTGTTGTTGTGACCTTGGCAAGAGATGAACAGAGGTGGTTTGCCATTGCCTGCCTCTGCACAATAAACCTGCACTTCCCTGCTTAGCTTCCAACATCTGACGAGATCAGGCTAGCCTGGGCCATTCAGCTTGGGGTCCTCAAGCTCTACAAGGCCAAAAACATCCTAACCCTCTTGGAACATTTGCCACATTCACCGAGGATAAGGAACTGTTGGAAGAAAATCTTCCCCAGCTGCACAAAATCTCAGCTGCATTTTTGGACCCCTTCGTGTTTGCGTGTATTAAAGCCCAGACAGGGTCAGAGAGGTGCAAGCCTTAGGTCCGAGCTGAAGAAGGGCAAGGGCCAAAAGGCTCTCTTTGGCTCTTAGTCCTGGGCTCCTGGCCTGTGACCACTGAGTGACTGACCACTGGCTCTAGAAACTACCCAGGATGTCTGTTTTTTTCCCTTTTCTTTGTTTGTATTTTGCTTATTAATTGTTGTCTGTTTAGAACAGGTATTTTTGTAAGCCACTCTACAGCCTGATCAAGTAGAAAAGTGGGGGGAGTAAGTTATCTAACAAAAAGGCATGGTGCCTTTAAAGGAGCCAGGAGCCTGTTCCGAGAGAGGCAGGACTTGCATCTCCACCTCTGTGCAGCAGTCTAGAGTCCGTGCTCCTAACCACTACACCAAACTGGCTCTCTCTATATAGTTTGAACCTTAGCCAAATTGTATAGGATGTGGTATATCTGGGATTGGATTCCCTGAGGCTTGTGACTGGTGCAAACATGATCTGGAGAGCAATCATTATTGTGGAAATGAAAGGGAAAGGGTGGTTGAAATCACATGGTCTCAGCAGGAACTGCAGGAGAAACTGTGACTTCCCAGGAATGTAGAGAAAACATCATCTGGATCTCATAAGAAATTATCAGTCATTGGCTGCACATTTCCACAGACAAAAACAAAGTTATCTGGCAAAAGTGCTAACAGGCTAGGAGATATTTTTATTATTATTTTTCTATTATAGATCTCATGATGCTGGCATTATTTCACAACAGCGGGGAGGCATATTAGGTTGAGAGGTCGTGCCTTGCTCCAGATCATCCAGAAAGCACCCTAGTTGGATTGGAATCTGGTTTTCTCGGATCTAAGATCAATCAGGGGTCAATTTGGGGGGGATCGCAGTTCCCCCGGGTGAGGTGCGGGGGGTGGGGCACACGGCACACGACGAAGCCCCGCCCCCTGCTTCCGGTCGGGGTAAAATGGCGATTTGACGCACCCTGTAAGTGCTCAGGGTGGACGGGTGTTCCTTACAGTAGTTTGGACTGTATTTTGGTCCAACGCGGCTTCCCCCAGGTAGGGGGAATGACTGGCAGGCATCAAGACCCAAGAGAGAGTTGATATTGGTGTGATCAAGTCTCGGAGGAGGCTTGTATTACACTTTGATCCCCTCTCCCGAAGCGGGCGAGCGCATTCAGGGGGTGTGGCCTTATGAAACACTTCCGGTGATGTCAGGGTGTGTGGCATATGTTAATGAGTTATGCTACTGAATTCCCCTAGCTCTTTTTCTACGAAACGACCCCTGAGATCAACACTGTAGCTGCTACACCACTCTAGCTAGTATCTACCTTAGAAAGACAATGGAAGTACCACCTGAAATGTCCTAGGGCTGAACAGGCTGAGTTCTGGTGAACTAAGCTCTGTTAAGCCCTGTGTGCTGCCCCCAGTAAGCATTAACTGTAGGCAGTAGTAGTTTGGTAAAACTGCTGTGTATCTTTAAGAGTAGTTGCATCTGGGAATTGTAGTTCTCAGTTAGGGTTCCCAGCAGCTTCCCTCTGACTGGCTCATTAAGAGTAATTTCCTGAGCTCAGAAGCACGAAGATAGGCATTTTATTGCTCTTTTCCTGCTTCTTTGTCTATCCTTACTGCAAGGAGAAGGGGAGACAGCATCTCTTTTCTCACCACGGCCATAGAATTGACCTTGATCAAAAAGATGTAACTTCTCTACCCAGCTATCAGCTTGATTGTGAGTAAATGATCTACTGAATGCATGTGAAGTTAAATAAAGATGATTTAAGCTCTCTCCAGTGGTTGTGCATTGACTCACACCTGGAAAGCGTTGCCTTAGCTGCAGCTCACGCTGGACAGGACACCCTGCTTTAAAGATGATAGCTCTAAAGAGGTGCCACTAGACAGAAAATCCCTTCCTAACAGCAAGGATTCCTTGCTCAGCAGTCCAATTTAATTTCTGCATTTCCAGCCTAAGTGCCGGAGCTAGTATGCAATTACCTAAATCCATTTTCTGGTCAGCTGGGTCCTTAGGCACCCCCCAGAACATGATGCTGGTTAGCATGGTGCACAAAAGGAGTGAAAAGCAGCAGGACACTCGCTGGGCTCGGGTGAAGGAGCTGCGGGGGGAGCGGTTGAAAATGGAATACCAGATATGTCCATCTTGGAAGCCCTTGGAGGTCTTCATAAAGAACAGGTTGCTAGAAGGAGGAGGAAAAGACATCAGACTAAGCCACGAGGAACACCATTTTGCAGTGACAAGGAAACAACTGTTACCAATATTCTGGGATTCTTTGATGGCA